GTCAGTGGCTGGCTTACGTGTTCTTAGTTTAGAGTCTCTAAGTGTCTCAGGCTGTAATGCCCAAAGTGCAGGAGGGAAACAGTAGTTCAGCTATAGCTGCTTAATTTTTTCTTTTTTTAAGAATTATTTAATTTTTTTTAATTTTATTTTTAAATTTGACCAGAGAGGAACAGAGTGTGTGAGAGAGAGAGAGAGGGAAGGCAAGCTGCCAGGTCTGGGACTTGAACTGTGGTCAGCCCTGGCTGAACTGTGGTCGGCCCTGGCTGCTTACTTTAGTTTTTTTTTTTTTTTTTTTTTTTTTAAGATTCGTTTTCTCTAAATTCAATCTCTTTGCTAGTACGCTTAGTGGGAGGGAAATCCCTGTGGACTCAAATCAGGATATTTTTATCTACTTTCAGCTGTAACACTAGCTAGCTGTCCAAAATGAACTCATCATCTTCCCATTACACTCCTTCCTCATCCTGTGTTCACTATTTGTCAATGTTACCCCTATCCACCAGTTTCCAAGCCAAAACGCTATGTAGCATTTCTAAATACTTCTTTTCCCCTCACCACCATCACTGTATTCCAATAATTCCACCTCCATCAATTCCACCTCCTAAATTCACTGTCAATTTGCATCAAGGGCAACTCACTATCTTAGTCTCCAAACTACTATTTTTGCTTTTATTCATATTCCTATTCTATACATAAAGCATTTTTCACTCTGTAGCTTGACTGATTATTCTATGCAAATCTGACTATGCTACTTTGTTACTAGTTTGAGAATAAAATCTCAAATCTTTGACAAGTGTTTTTGTCATTGGTATTTTCATGATTTGATTTCTACTTACCTCTCTTCTCTAACCCCTCCCATCCAGCTTTCCAGTCCCTGAACAACTTTCATACTCTGAAGGTATACATTCTCTTTCACTTCTGATCTTTTGCATGTACTGTTTACTCTGCCTTAACAATTTTCCCTTACCTTTCTTCATCTAGAACACTTAATTTTCAATAGAACATCAAATAACACTTTACTTGGAAGTCTTTCTTTGACAACCACCCCCTCCATTCTTAAGGTCTGAGAAGGTTACTTCACATAGTGTTTGGGTTTGCTTTATTTTCTTCATTGGATTGTAAACTCCTTACATATGGTTTTATGTGTTATTCATTACCAATACACCTGGAACATAGTATGTGCTTTAAAATGACTCATTGAATGAATGACTTGTCTGTTTCTCTTAGAAAAAAAAAAAAAGGATTACATGTCCAGCGGCTACTTTTGGCCCCTTGGCACTGGTTTAAGATCAGTTAGGAGCACTGTTTCAGAGCCTATGTATAATTTCATAATTTCTGTCCATCCTCCAGTTGAGCCTTGGATACCCCGTCATTCCAGAAAGAAATTTCTCAAAGGTATCAAAACTAAGCTCATGTTAAAAACAAACAAACAAAAACTAAGTAGGTACTTAAAGAGGATCCCACTGGTCATACATGGGACAGTATCCTTCATTAAGGAAAACAATTCTGACACCAATCTTAGAAGACTGGAAGTCAAGGGAGATGGGCTAGTAGATGGCAGTCAGGTAGTACACGTCTTCACCTCTATGTGCTTTAGCTAAAGTGTTCTGATTATGTACTTGTATTCCTTATATTCTTGCCTGTGATGATGATTGTCAGTTATTAGATTATAATTGTTAATAATTCTCTTTAGCTATTGGTCCAAGGCATTTTATTTTTTAAACATTTATTTATCTATTCATTTGCTGTGATTTTCAAGTTGCTGCATTTGAGACTTGAACTGCAGTCACCATGTGGGAATCCAGCACCCCAACCACCGTGCCACCTGCATGCCCTTTATTGTTTTGTTTTCAAAGATTTTGACTAATAAACTTTCATTCGCAAATTTAAAAAAAGATAACAACTACAATAAATTGAGACACATCAAATTTGTTTAAATTCATGTTTATACTGATACAACAGCAGTGGACAAAACTGTCCCTGTTCAGAGGCTGAAAGGGAACCAATATCTAGAAAAATGATAAACAAAGGTGAAGAATCAAGGATTTATTCTTTCTACCTGTAATGTCCCACTAATAACCAACTAGTAGATAAGGACATGTATCCCAGTCTACAGGCAAAAAAGAAATGGTAGAGTAAGAAAAATCTCCCTTTGTAATCCTATAATCTAATGGATCTAAGTGTTGAGCATCAACTGTTACTAATATAACAAAAAAATAGACAACTTGGCATTATGTGCTTCCTCATGAAATAACTCAATATCACCTTAAAACAAGCTTACACTATAATTTTTAAAGATGTATACTAAAGTAATAAACTATAAGAGGAAAACAATACCACCGTGGTAACTTTTAGTTTTTTTTTTTTGAGAGATTTTCACTGTAGGGCGCATGCGCTCGCCAGACAGACAGAGAGAGACAGAGAGAGACATAGAGACAGAAAGTGAGAAATCACCCCCCAGGGGGGATGGTCACGCCACAATCCCTTCTCCTCCACCCTCCTCTCGGGATCTTGGGCACGCACGCACACGCGCCCGGCGTGAGTTTTAAGCCACTGGGTCCGGGACACGAACCGCGGTCGACTACGTGGGAGTCCAGCGACATAGCCATTACGCTAACTGCTGGCTCCCGAGACTGGTAACTTTTGGGAGGAGAGACAACCTTTGGATGGGTTAGGACACATAAGGGATTTGGGAGTAACTGGCAGTATTATTTTTGACCTACATAATTACAAGTGTTTATCTTATAACTATTTGTTGTATATCAGTACATTTGTTTCAGATAGGCTTCTGCATCTGCTGTTTTATTTTATAATAAAACAGTAAGAAAAAAATGACTGAAATAGCTCTGGTTAAACATGAAACATTGAATATATGCATGTGTGAATCTCAGCTCCTTCTTAAAACTGCATTAAAACATAAAAAGAGGAATATTAAAAAGATATAAAGTGCCAAAGAAAGGAGAACAGGAGATAAAAGATGTCCAACAAATCTAATCTCATAGCCATACAAGCTGAACATTTTAAAATTAAAACCTTATTAAAAAGCTCAAATACATCAGCATAGTTATTAAAAGGAGAAAATAAATTTCAATGTTTTTCCCACTGGGATAACTTATAAATTAGTCCAGTAAATTTTATATTATTTAAAAATTCAAAAATGGGGAACCATCATGTAGATCTCTCCCCTCCCCTTTTTTTAAGAGAGATTTTTGGTATAGGCCACATGCACTTACCGGAGAGACAGAGAGACAGAAGGCAAGAAATCACCCCCAGGGTGGGGATGGCCATGCTGCAATCCCTTCTCCTCCAGTCTCCTCTTGGGATTTTGGTAATGCACACATAAGCACCGGCATTAGTTTTAATCCACCAGGTCTTGGACTTGAACCACAGTCAACTACATGGGAGTCCAGCAATGTAACCATTACACCATTTACTGGTTCCAAGATTTCTCTTTTTAAATAATGC